CGGCAGATGGCATGGCGGTTAAGGCGCTGGACATTCCCACATGGCCGACCATGGTTCAAGTCCTGGACATGGTAGCTTGCTTTCTCACTTTCTCTCTTTCTCTCTCTCTCTCTGTGTCTCTCTCTGGCCAAATGAAATAAATGAATAAATAAAATTCAAAATAAAAATAATTCTCAAAAAAAAAATATATACACATATATATATATACATATACATATATACTATATATATTGTGTGTGTACATGTGTGCACTCATAGGAAAACTAAGACCAATGGCTATATGGGAAGAGAAGCTGCTTAGTCTTCTCTGCACCTAAGTTTTTTTTCATAGTCTGATTTATAAAGAGCATTTCTAATTACTGGATAAAAAATTCCACTTTTCAGTGAGTACACTTGCACGCGATGGCAAAGCGGTTGCCATAGTTATTCATTACTCTAGCTTGTTGCACATGATTTGATCTACAGCTTTAGATGTAAAATGTGCATTTCAATGTAATTGGGACCGTTCCTTCTCCAATTTGCCTGCTGGACATAAATGGTTCATTCATGGAAAGAAAATTATTTCCTCATATCCATTTGATTAAATAAAAATACTCACACTGTGAGTTTGGCACTCAGATGGTGGAGGGACTTCTGGAACATTCCGTTTTTTCTAATGTGTTTATAATGCTCTTCCACATCTCACCTGGCTGTAGAGAACATCATACAGGCAAAAAGAGCCTGGGTGGGGGCAGGGAACGGGGCATTGTTGGAGCAGAAGCTACTGGAATGTGAGCGCTGGAAGGGACCTTGGCATTCATCTAGTCAATCCACCTCAAACTTGACCTTTCCTTTATTGTTTAAAATTTCAAGCCTGTGAAAGACTGTCAGAGCAAAGCACACGGTCTGGCTGGAGCAGTTGCGGATTACTTGGTAATGGTATTTACCGATCCTATCCTGCTTCATCAACTTGAGATTTCATGTGAAATCCAGCACTCCCAGGTATCAGGCACATTATGACTTAAGATCGCAAAGGATGCTGTGCAGTGGTGTGGCAGCGGGCATTG